CAAACATGATGAGTGAAGTTTAGACCAAAAAGTTCTACTTTGGTCTCATCTGACCACATGACTTTCTCCCATGCCTCCTCTGGATCATCTAGATGGTCTTTGGCAAACTTCAGACGGGCCTGGACATGTGATGACTTGAGCAGGGGAACCTTCCGTGCAATGCATGATTTGAAACCATGACAGCGTAGTGTTCTACCGACAGAACTGTGGTCCCAGCTCTCTTCATGTCATTGACCAGCTCCTCCCTATCGTTCTGGGCTGATTCCTCACCTTTCTTATAATCAGTGATACCTCACGAGGTGAGCTCTTGCATGGCGTCCCAGTCCGAGGGAGACTGACAGTCGTCTTTAGCCTCTTCCATTTTCTAACAATTGCTCCAACAGTTGATCTATTTTCACCAAGCTGCTTGGCAATTGCCCTGTAGCCCTTTCCAGCCTTGTGGAGGTCCACACTTTTGTCTCTGGTGTCTTTTGACAGCTCTTTGGTCTTGCCCATGGTAGTAGTTGGCGTCTGACTGACTGTGGGGTGGACAGGTGTCTTTAAAGAGCTCAGACAGGTGCTACTAATTTAGATTAATGAGTGGAGTAGAGGTGGACTTTTTCAAGGCACAGTAACAGGTCTTTGAGAGCCGGAATTCTTGCTGTTTCTCAGGTGTTCAAATACTTATGTTCAGCAGTGCAAGACAAATAAATTCTTTAAAAATCATACAATGTGATTTCCTGAATTTTTTTTTTTAAATCCTGTCTCAGAGTGGGAATGCACCTACAATGTGAATTTCAGACCCCTCCATGATTTCTAAGTGGGAGAACTTGCAAAATCGCAGGGTGTTCAAATACTTCTGTTCCTCACTGTAAGTCAGTAAACAGGTCAGACGTATCCACTGACCAGGCCTGGGTTACTATCTGGCACTGTTTAGATCCTACTATATAATCAAAAAGGAACACGTCATGCAAACAGCAGTCATCCCCGTTCAAGCACCTGTTGAACAGATTCATTTTATGTGGAAATTATGAACAAGACCCATTTATGGTGGGATTTTATTAGTCTGAGTATGAAAAGGGCCAAAAGCCTGCGTCAGAGCAGGGCTACCCACTACACTGTGGAAAGTGGGACCAGAAAATGGTACACAGCAGACTTTATACTGAAAGTATCTTCTATTTGGGGTAAAACTGCAGCTGACTAAAGGCGTATGTTATCACAGCAGTGACAGGTCATAAAAGAGATTTGAGGGCCGGAAAAAGAAACTGCACAACACAAGTAAGAGAGCACTAGGACACTAACCACACTTGGTCATGCCAACTTCATAGCACTTGCGAAGGCGACATGCTTGGCAGCTCTTACGGCGGTTCTTGTCTATGGTGCACTGATTGGTTGCTGGGCAAATGTAGTCATTGTGTCCTGAATTGAAGAAGAAGAAGAAGAAAGAGAGAAGATGATGTGGACCAAAACATGAAGAGGACAATGAATGAAGAATAAGAGAAAAACACTGAGACAGAGGTGAAGAATAAAGGGTCAACTCCACATTACAGATCAGGAGACACCTTCCTGCTAATTGGAGCAACTAACTTAGCACTTTTTCACTTTTCACTGCATAGGAGCAGTGCACCTGCTACAGGAAACTGATGACAGACTAACACAATGATGTTAAATGGATAATATTTACCATTTTAATTTAGTGTGTTAGCATGCTAACATTTGCTAATTTGCATTAAACAGCAGCTGTAGCTGATGGGAATGCTATCAGTTATGCACATATTTAGTCTTAAATAAAAGCACTGGCAAATTTTGACCTCGTAAAGGTGACAGATGACAAAAAAATACAATTCATCTTAAGGGGAACATATGTCTGTACCAAATTTCAAGGCAATCCAACCAGCAGCTGGTGATAAATCTCACTCATAATCACAAATGTGAAGCTCTCAATGGCACTAGAGAACAAGGCAGAGGATCAATAAAGTCTGTGGGAATCATTATGTGTGGACTGAATGTCTGTGATCCATTCAATAGACCGTTCAGTCTGGAGCAAGGTGGTGGGTCCATAGAGAGACAGAGAAATCACCTCCATCCATCGAGTCTGTGAACATTTTCTCTTATCACAATATATGGTACTAAACTGTATTTAAAAAAAAAAGTGTGTCTCACCTTGGATGCTCCTTTTGAAGAAGGCCTTACACCCTTCACACGACCACACTCCGTAGTGGTAGCCTGAGGCGTAATCGTGACACACTGCACAGTAGTGGAAGTCCGCCCTCCCGCCCGATGACACCACGACCTCCTCCTCGCTCACCTGGGAACGCCTCCTCCCACTCTTACTAACGGATAAAACAGAGTCATGCTTTCTTCCCAAGACAAAAACGTGAAATAAACAATAAAAAGCAGTGTAAGCGTGCAGCGAGTTCCATCAGTGGTATGATTGCAGATTGTTCTGGTTTACTGCAGGCTTTAAGACAGAAGAAAACCACAGATCCATCATATTTCTTATTATTGCCTTCAAATGTGTTGGGTTATGTAAACTGTGATGAGTCACAATGACAATGATTACCATTCTGAGTGGCCAAAATTTTTATTTTTAATAATGTGAATGTGAATGCTGACTGGGGCTGAAGCAGTTAGACCATAAATCCATGAGTTAACCAAAATATTTCACATTTGCCATTTTCTTATTGAGAATTTGCGGTTTTTCTCAGATTTATGATAATATAGTTAATAATTCTGGAGTAATTCAGGTATCTTCACCATTATCTGACATTCTTTAAACTAAGCAATCAGAAAAAGCATTTAAAATATTTTTTAAATATGAACACTTCCCTGCAGCACTGCCCCAAAGTCTGCAAAATGATCAATAATCAATCAGATCACCCTGCAGAACCACCTTAAAGATCATTAAAAACTAAATCAACAGAGACTGATGAAACCCTGCACTGTCCTACCTGACTGTTAAGACGCTGTCCCGTGACGTTGCCTCCACCCATGGACTCTGAATCGGCTGGCCGTGCTGGGGTCTGGCCGGGGAGCGGAATGGGGACACGGGAGGGCCCACATGGCCGTGGCTGGGCCAGAATAAAGAGGGGCTCAGTGACTGATGGACAGAGGTGCAGTCTGACACGCTGGGACCAGCATAACTGAAGATAGTCGGATTGTAGAACGGTATGGTGGTGAAGTCGTGGCCGAGGTCAGTGTAAGGGGAGGGGATGCAGATGGGCTGGCTGGTTTCAAGGGACAGACCAGGAGAGGAGCAGCTGAGGACCTCACGACTGCCAACTCGACTAGAGTCCACCTTCTGGAGCTGCAGGAGGAGCTGATCCTTTTCTGGAAAGGAAGCAGCCATCGCAACTACAGAGAACCTAAGTATCACTGGACTTACTACGTCGTCAACAGAGAAAAAGGTAAATGAGCTGAAGATACGGTCATTTTTTCCCCACTGGTGTCAAGTTCACTGAGCTGATCTATCTACACAGGACAGGCTAATTTAATGTTACTGAAGAGTTCACATGGTCAACTCCATCAGAATGATGGATGTGTCCAACTAAACCTACTTAACTCTACTTTGACACTACTCAGTGCAACATGTCAGGTGCTGGGACCAGTGACATAGTGGTCGATGTTGTCAAACAGCCCAGCAGACTTTGAACACCAGACTGGAGTCTGTCTATGCCAGAGTAGGGACGTTGTACAGCGCTCAGTCCAAGTCCAGCCATGAGTCAGCACACCCACCTGATCAGAGATGTGTGGCACAGCTTTCCACCTGGAAGACAAAGAGAAAAGCTCTAGTGCAAGTACTGGAATACTGAGTGTGAACTGCAACGCCAGGGTTTTTAAGTGACACTGCATTAGGTTTGTTCGTTTTTTTTGGGGGAAAATGCAAAAAACAACCACACCATTCTCCTGTGACTGAAGCTTCACACTATAAATGTCAGATGTGTTAATAAGTACACTTGAAATGACCTACATTTATGAATAAATGTGAATCATAACACTATTTTTTTCCATGCAACCACCATGATATGGTAGGATTAAAATATTCACTGCAAGGCGGAATTTCACTTCTTTTAGAGGTGTGCATAACAAGAGAGGAAACAGGAAACACTGTAGGATTTATAGTGTGCTTTCAACATCTGGTTGATCAATAAACAACACACACGCCAACCCCAGTACAGTCTAGGGACATGTTCGTTTACTCCGATGACATACATGCAATCCCTGGGCGGCAGGAATCTGTCTTAAGTCATACAAAGTACATGTCCTCACTTCTGGAGGTCGTCTGGGCACATTAATCTTTCCTAACAGCTGAGAAGAGCTTTGCTTTGTCCAGTCAACAAAACCCAGTAACCCAGAGGACAAGACAGAGTAAAATGAGCACTGCTGAAAACCGGAAGCAATTAAACTCAAAGCTTCAACTATTAGCTAATTATTTTGAGCCCTGTGGAAAGTGCTTAAGTGACAACATCAAATTAAAACATGACTGGAAAAACTTTTACAGCTGCAGAAACTGTCTGGGAAATGGAGCCATTTATGCAAATGCAGAATATTGTTATCATTAATAACACTCCAACCACTTCATGAAAAGTGGTGACAATCTATGCCAAATAGAAAAGCTGAAATATTATATTGTTACAGTTCCCTGAGACATTTTGCAGCAGTCTATATTTTTGTACCTTAATAACAGAGCACCAGAGTGTAGGCTTTGGAAGGGGAAAAAGCATTTCTGGCCACAACCTCTGCTGCAGTGAAGAGCTGTGGATCCATTATGGGCCAGTGAGGAAACCACATGCTGGTATCAACCCAGAGCTCCTCTGACAGAGGCCGAATGTTGTGGACAAAAATGACAGTGAATACTTTTTCATTCTACTTTATTAACCTTACATGCTGAATAAAGACAGGCAGCCATTTGCACAAAAACGGTTGGGATTTTCTGCTTTGTCCAAACTTGGCTTAGGAAATGTGATGTTAAATAAAGGTTAAATGCAATTGATTTATGTGCAATATGGTTTTGTTTGAGGCTGAAAGAAAAAAAAAAAGTTGTGTAAAGGAGGCCACGCCCACTTATATTAAAGAGGAAAAGGTAAGCTAGTCCTCAGATCCTCCCTACATGCAACTGGCCACAGTGCATTTTGTGTACGGTGTAATAGTGAGGCAGGGTTTTCACAGTGAGATCTAAAATTATGATCTAGCCGACCACAGTTTTACTGTGGCAAGCCATTACTGACTGTGTGGTGGTGCAATGATTAGCGCTATTGCCTCACAGCAACAAGGGCCTGGGTGTGTGGTTGTCAGTCTCTAAGTGTCAGCCCCCTGATAGACTGGCGACCTGTCCAGGGTGGACCCTACCTCTCGCCCAGTGTCAGCTGGGATTGGCTCCAGCCCCCCCACAACACTTGTTAGGATAAATGGTATAGATAACAGATGGATGAATAGATGGACTGCCTCAGTGATCTATGCATACCCTGAACAGTCTGGTAGTAGAACAGTCTCAGCTGTTCCACCACAGCTCCGGGGCAATGCCTTCAGAATATTTCTGCTTTCTAGTGACATTTGGTTTGACACACATTCTAAATGAATGTTAATGAGCAATCGGAGGATGCCTTTTCTTATGGTCATCTATGGGGTTAATTCATTCCTACCTGATGAAATGCCAGGGCATTAAGGAGTCAGTGCTTTTCATTTTTTGATGTTTATCTACACCGCTTGCCAGTTCATTTGTTTCTGCCTAAATCACGAGGACTGATGCTACAGTAAAAATTACTACACTGGGCAACAGAAGCATCGGTTACATCCACAGCCCTACTATCAATATAAAGCAAATAGAAATTAGTATTTAATTACACTTAATGTCAGGATGTTGTATATAATTTACTTTGCTGCACAAAGTATTAAAAGCATTGCAGCAAAGATTGCCTGTAATCTTGTGTCTGTAGCTAAAGCAGATGAGCCATTTTAAAGAATAAACAAAGAGTGTGGCAGCATTTTGCTTCTTCAATTGCCATTTTAAGGTTAAAAACAGATGTGGAAGAGTTTTTGTTTCATTTGAAGCTTTGACCTTGCCTTCAAGCCTCCTCGCTGTGGCACTCTCCAGCACCTGGCTGCTCGCTATGGGAGGAAACCTCCCGGCTCCTCCACAGAGCTGCTCATCCTGCCGTCACAAATAGCAGCTTACACAGCCATCAAACCCTAGGTCTAACCACAAGTTATTTCAGAGAAATTGAATTTTAATATTTAGGATTCTACTCAAGAGCACTGCAACAGCTAAGTAACAGTTACTCAAGGGCGTCATTAAGCAGTTCAGGGCTTCACATTACTAACCATTGCTGCCTCACAGCGGCATCACACCAAACAGTCAACGTACACAGAAATGTGGCCACCACTTTCAACAGAGACAGTGGCTGCTCTCTCAAACCAACTAAACTGAACTATGATCCCAAATATATTGATCATCACAACATGCATTCAACTAGATTCAGGTACTGGCAGAAGTTATATCAGCAACAGTTTCCGGGAGAAAAGTAATAATAGAAAAGCTGTTGTTTTTTTATTAGAACGTCTCTAAATTCACTTAAGTCTGTTGTCCAGTCCTGAAAAATGTCATCACAGATCATATTAGCAGTTTACCTATGGTTTCCCCAGCATTATAATAAAGGTTTACAGTTAACAGGAAGGTTTGGAAAATTAGCTTTAACTCTATCACTGACTAACACTGCACTCAGAGCCACTTTCCCCAAATTACACATTTCTATGGCACAATATAAAAACGGATGTTAAAAACTAATTTTGCTCAAAAATGTAGTTACTGCATTTGAGCACTGTTGGACACCCAGCGCCCTAAATTATACACAAAGTGTGAAGTGACAGAAGTGTTCCCGGCCATTAGCCAGAAGTGCATGCCTTTTCCACAAAAGCTCAAGGCCAAGTCATTTTCCCATCCTCAAGTCTAACCGCCTCCCTAAAACCAGGCGGAAACAGATATGAAACAGCTCTGGAAGAAGAAGCGGGACCTTACTATATACAGCCAGGGAGTATAAGCGAGGATGTGAGCACCGATTGGTGCCAGAGAATGCGAAAAACCTCAATGAATTGTTTGCCATGCTGAAACACAAACGTTCTGCCATAGGACTTGCTGCATGTTCTTTTCAAAAGCAAATTAAACTCTGCAATCAGCATAAATTAAATCATTTTGCTGCTCAACTAAACCTGAGCTATTTACAGATTCATTATTTTATTATCAATGCATCCTTCATTTTGTACTCTGCACACTGTAAGTTAATTAAACTCACTAATTGCCGTGCTGCACTGCGCTATATTGAAATGATTTACTAATGTCTTGTTCATCCAAATTTACATGCACTGCAATCTAATTACAGTCTAAACATAACTGGTTACTTTTACCAGATGGAAACTGTCACAATGTCAACAAAACCTAGAATTAAATAAAGTTACCAGTGTGCTACACTTCTTGTTAAAAGGTTCTGGTCTGGAAGATAGCTGAAGATGTGGGTAATCAAAAACAGCTAAAGTTGTGTGATTTACTCTTTGATTCATTTTAAATAAATCAAAGCGTCTGTGGTTATTGGGAGCAGGTAACAACCACATCTGGAGCAAAGCGGCAGTGGTTGACACTAACAAACAAGCAAGCTTGGGGAAAAAAAAAATGCAGTGTAAAAACACAAAACCCGACAACAGAGCCAAAACATAAGAATGGAAATAATCCTCTCTATCTTAACAACACAATGTTTTAAGATATAATTCTCTCCGTGTAAGCTCATTTGATGAAAATAAAATATAAACCAGGCTAATCTTCGTTTGGTCTATGAAACAATTCACTAAAATCTGGCCTCAGTTCACTGAGACATTAGCATTTTGGCAGCAGATGAGATGTCAATCACTTCTGCAACCATCTATGGATGCATGAATACACGTCTTTAATCTTCCATTCTATTTAAATTATTTTTTATTTCAGGAATAAAAAGCCCCCAGGTCCACACATTGAGATCTACAAGCATATTAATGACAGAATCCTAATGTCACACCCACAGTTAACATACAAGGTAAAAATACATTACATGCTTTTAGTCTTGTCCTATTCCTAAGTGTTTTGCACAAATTCATGAATAAATACATTAAGGATGATATAACAACATTTAAACCCGGCACAACTTCTGCAAAAATGAAAAGCTAACACTGAAAAAACCAAATCTATCTAAATCAGTGCAAAAAGGATTTTGAAATGACACTATTAGAATAATTTCCTCTCATTTCCTCAGTTTCAGTACTACACAACCTACCAAAGAACCTACCAAATGCATCATCATCGCTGTCAGCAGTGGTAAATGGCATGGTCAGTATGAGGGTCAACACATGCAATGCCCTTAAAAAACTGTTGTTTGAATAGACTACTCTGCAATTAACTGGATCCGTGATTGAAAAGGAAAATGTAGTAGCCTATTATGAGATGCCCGGTTCAAAGAAGAGGAAATTCTTCCACTGAGCTTGTCTGGCTCACAGCCACATGTTTACATAGTGATGAGTGCTTTCCAAGTAGGTTAATGTTCACAGCAGACCTGCTTACATTTAAGCCTGATTCTCACAGACTACATCAGAACCAGAACAGAGGAAAACCCAGAAATGTTTTACTTCTAAACATGTTTCGTAGGCTAATGATGTGCACTGTGCAGAAGGTACTCAAAGAAATAACTGTGGTAATAAAACTGTAGAAGAGAAATACCAATTATATGCTTGCATATTTAAATTAATCATCCCCAGCGACGTCTTTATGTACGGTATAATTTGTAAACAAGCTAGAAAAACTCCAAAAAGCTTTTTTAAAAAGAAGAAAAAAGGTGTTAAAAATCAACCGACCTCCCCAGAACCTCTTGTAATAAACTGTGGTTTAAAGTCTGATTAATAGTTTTGTGTTTTTCTTATTCTGTCACCTGTTAACCAGCCAAAGGACGAAGGCGAAATTTCAGTTTGACCTGGTTTCACGCAGACAGGCCTCCAACTTGTTGCTTACAGCCCAAATATTTGACCTGGAGGAGCAATAAATCAGTGGGACTTTAGCCCAATGTCCTCTCTCCGCTATGCTGCACGTCGCCTGCTCCGATACAAACACCGTAAGTTGAATTAACAAACATGAACATAGTCTTACCTCTTTCTCCAGAGACGCCAGTTTCAGAGAAAGTTGCCAGTCTGACGATGCGAAGTGTAGCCGCGGCTTCGTGTGTCGGGTAAAATGTAAAAGACAGCGGGAGCGAGGCTGTTCTGAGCTGAACTAAGGCCAAGCACCGAGTTTGTTCACCAAGCTGTCAGACTGCACTGAAATAAAACACGCTTGTTCAGCCTTGTTCAGTAAAACGACGTTCGTGGAAACGAGGGCAAGTTAACTTGAATAAGGTGCACAAAATCCGGTCTGTACTTTCAAAATAAAAGCCCTCATCAAAACAGGCTCCAGTGCAAATATCAGCATGAGCAGTGGTGGAAAGTGTTGCAAAATTCGATTCTTTTATTATGAAGAAATCACCCATATTCCGGTTTTGTCCTATTATGTGACCATGCCCCCTTCTCAGGGAAAGTCACAGAGATATCAGAATAAACCACACCTATGTGGTTAGTGTTCTATCAAGTCAGTCTCATCCTGTTTGGGGCCACAGTGTTTGGTCAAGCACAGACGGCCACCAGGCTCTTACAAATGTTACACGGGCAAATATCAAACTTTCCTTTGATAAAGCTTATAGTGAGGACTGGCTCAGGTGACCCTGAACCTTCCCTTAGATATACTGCTATAAGCCCAGACTGCTGGGGGTCCTACCATGATGCTCTGAGGTTCTGTCCTCCTCTCTCTCCATGCATCTATACGGCACCATTACGCATCACTAATTGTGTCTCCTCTCTCCCATAGTGTGTTCTCTCTCTCTCTCTACCTGTACCTTTCTGCAGGTAGCCAGGAGCTCTACGTTTCTGATGAGCAGTCACAGTCCACATCAACCTGCCCAGTGTTTGATTGCTTTGTTTTGTTTGCTGTGCCTTGTTGCTTTTCTTTTCTTTTCTCTCCTCTATCCACTCACCCCAACCGGTCAAGGCAGAAGGCCCCCCACCAAGACCCGGGGTCTGTCGGAGGTTTCGTCCATTAAGTAGTTTTATGTCCCCAGTGTTGCCAAGTGTGGGTTTTTCTCAATAATAATAATATCTACACCTGACTATGTAAAGTGCCCTGAGATGATTTTTGTTATGATTTGGTGCTATACAAATCAAACTGAATTTAATTATTTGACTTAACAACTGCACTTGACGTTTCAGGAATCACCGAGCACTAAATCCACCGAGTGCACGTTTTGGAAGCAGATACTGTCACTAACAGACGGAGGACAACATAACATGGAGCCATTCAAAGAGGACACCAGACACTCTCTCGGTACTACTGGCAGCTTAATTTCTGCCGCTGCTTAATATTTCCACTATGTTTACACCACAAATCAGGGATGTTGCAACCACAACTCCAGTGGAACCTTTAATCTTTACCTCTTCTCCCTTGACACTATAAACTTATCTAATCATCTGCCCTTTTTTCCTTCAAAATGATGAATTATTTGGCCTAGAAAAATGCCAAAAAATGTGAAATATGCCTGTTATAATGTCCCACAGCCCAAAAATATGGAAGACAGAGAAAAAAAAAACATCAAATTCTCACATCTGAGAAGCTGGAAACGGCAATAATTTAGTTTTTTATCAAAATAATGTAATAGTTGCTGATGAATTTTCTGCTCCCCAACTAACTGTTGCAGATCTGTTGTGAACTATTTCATAACAGCATCCTCTTATTGGTAACTTTGGTCTTGTTTGTTACACACTGGGTTTTAATTATGTTCCTGAAAATACAGTACAGTATACAACTACAACACACTATTGCCTTTTATTGTATTTTGTTTCCTGGAGACTGAGTGTTTTGCAGCTGGGCAACAGAAAGGCACATCCCTTCCTTGCATCAAAGCACACGAGATACACTTTTGGGCCAAACAAATGGACCCAGCATGCACTGCACTCTGGTCGACTGAGGTCATTGTTAAATAAAGACACTGGCATCACTTTAGACTGTAGAAAGGTCATTTAGTTTTGATTTAGAGGCTGATGTCTATGAACAGAAATAGGACAAATTTAATTAAAATTATTATGACTTTTCCTGCAACAGTGACTAGTGTCAATGTTTGTCCTCAGAGGCCTGGTGAGTGTAGGTGAGAAACAGAGACCAGTAAAATGCAGAAAGGGCTCGGAGGTTAACACCACTGACTTTGATATGGCAGGTTGGGGTTCGATTCTCTGTCAGTGCATGGTCAAGTTAATTTTATTTTCTATATAGCGCCAGATCACCAGAAGTTATTTAAGGCTACCTTTACTATAGAACAGGGCTATACTTTGTTCTTTTATTAAACAAACTAAATAGCCTTATTCTATTTTTCTTAGGCCTGGGAGCTTGAGGGTCCTGCGCAGTATCTTAGCTGTTCCTAGCACTGCACTCTTCTGGACAGAGATCTCAGATGTTGTTCCTGGGATCTGTTGGAGCCACTCTCCCAGTTT